TGACACCTGGGACCCCCTCCAGGGACTTTTTTTTCCTGCAAATTGGGCGTTTCTGAAGAGCCTCCAGGGGTTCATTCCCAGGAAAAGGCGTCGGGATGCGATCCATGTGATCCATCATTGTCTGACTCCCTGGATGTGTCAGGTTTAAGTGGCACCTTCCTTGATAAGCCTCACTTAGCTTTTTATTCCTCCTCATCTATTTCTAGACGTTCCTTAAAAGCCTTGGAAATGCAGACGAGGATAAATCCCAAATAACTTAATTAAATTCCTTTTTTTTTTTTTTTAATATATAAAAACCCACACAAAAGAGGAATTTGAGTAAAGACACGGATCCCAGAACTTCTCAGGTACCCTCTGGATTATCCAGAGGTGACAAATGCAGTGTTTGGGGCAATCTGAAAAATCGGTGGAATTCTCGGTTTCTTGGGATTACAACTTCTCTTAATCCTCTTTGGAATTTCTAAGCTCCCGTTTGCCGCTGGATGATCCCAAAAATCCCTTTTGTTGTGTTCCTGAGTGAGAGGGGGTCAGGGCAATTCCAGGAAAACACGGATGGGGGGAAAGGATGGAGAGCAGCCCTGGGGAGAAGGGATTTGGGGGTGTGGGTGGGTGAGAAGCCCCACAGGACGCATCCATGTGCTCTGGTCCTGGAAATTCCCAACGTTCTGGGCACATCCCACAGCGTGGGCAGCAGGAAATGGGGAATTCTGCTCTCTGCCCCGCTCAGGTGAGATCCCACCTGGAATTCTGCACCCAGCTTCAGGATCCACCATCTGGAATTGCTGGAGCAGATCCAGAGGAGGCCATGGAGAGGGTCCAAGGGCTGGAGCCAGGCTGGGAGAGCTGGGAAAGTCCAGCCTGGAGAAGACAAGGATCCAGGGAAACCTCAGAGCCCCTTCCAGTGCCTGAAGGGGCTCCAGGAGAGCTGGAGAGGGACTTGGGACAAGGGATGGAGGAACAGGACACTGGGAATGGCTTCCCACAGCCAGAGGGCAGGAAGGAATTCCTGGTTGGGAGGGTGGTGAGGGGCTGGGATGGAATTCCCAGAGAATCTGTGGCTGCCCCTGGATCCCTGGAAGTGTCCAAGGCCAGGCTGGCCAGGGCTTGGAGCACCCTGGGAGGGGGGAAGGTGTCCCTTGCCCATGGGACCATCCCATCCCATCCCATCCCATCCCATCCCATCCCATCCCATCCCATCCCATCCCATCCCATCCCATCCCATCCCATCCCATCCCATCCCATCCCATCCCATCCCATCCCATCCCATCCCATCCCATCCCATCCCATCCCATCCATGATTCCATCCCATTCCATTCCTTCCCAAGGAGCCCAGGACACGCTGGGCCTGTTCAGCCCTCACCATCTCCATCCCCGCCACCATCAGGTTTCGGTGGTTGTCACCCAGCCCAGCTGTGCTGGGGCCGGTGGTTTTGGGATGGTGCCGGAGGTGGATCCCACGGAGCCGACGCCTTTTCCTGCTGTCGAAATCCGGACAGAGGGAAGGAGCTTTGGGATCTCTGGAGTGCCGGGGAGCTGCGCTGCTCCAGCTGGACCGGGGGAGGTCAAATCCACAAATTTTGGAGTTTTTGTGGGAAATGCTGCCGGGTTTGGTGGTGTGGGTGGCAGCGCCGGTCATGCAGAAGTTCATCTCCAGGTTGGTGATTCCTGTCCTTCCATTCCTTCCCATTCCCTCATGGAATGTGCTTTGATCCCCGGCTCTGGACCTTCAAGGGTTAGGGGTGGATGCTGTGATCCCGGGTGGACATTGGGGTGCTCCATCCCTGGCTTGCGTTTTGCAGACTTGCTGGGTTTCCCTGGGAGCTGGAAATCAGGGATTGGTTGGAAACTCTTTGGAAAAATTCTCTGTTTTGTGTAAATAATTCTGCGGGACTCGATGGGGGTAGAAGAAAGCGTTGTGAGGTCGCTCTTCATCCCGCTCTCGCTTTGATCGCGCTCGCATTGATCACGGAACCATTGGATGGTTGGGTTGGGAGGGATCTTGGTTGAGTTTCCACTCTTTCCTGGTTTTTTTTTTCCAGGCTGGAATGGGTGTGAATTATCAAGCTTTGGACATGGGAGACTTTATAGGGGTGGAAAGAGAAGTTGTCAAATTGCTCTTGTCCACCCCATGAGCACCGAGTCACAGAACCATCGGGTGGTTGGGGTTGGGAGGGACCTTGGTTGATGCTTCCCCTCTCCCTGTTCTTTTCCAGGCTGGAATGGTTGGGAATCATCGAGTCTTGGACACGGGAGACTCGATGGGGGTGGAAAGCAGAGTTGAGAAGTCGCTCTTCTCCATCCTGCGCTCGCATCAAATCACGGAATCATCGGATGATTGGGGTTGGGAGGGACCTTGTTTGATGCTTCCCCTCTCTCCCTGTTCTTTTCCAGGCTGGAATGGGTGGGAATCCTCAAGTCTTGGATATGGGAGATTTGATGGGGTTGGAAGGAAGAGTTGAGAAGTCGCTCTTCTCCATCCTGCGCTCGCATCAAATCACGGAATCATCGGATGATTGGGGTTGGGAGGGACCTTGTTTGATGCTTCCCCTCTCTCCCTGTTCTTTTCCAGGCTGGAATGGGTGGGAATCCTCAAGTCTTGGATATGGGAGATTTGATGGGGTTGGAAGGAAGAGTTGAGAAGTCGCTCTTCTCCATCCTGCGCTCGCATCAAATCACGGAATCATCGGATGATTGGGGTTGGGAGGGACCTTGTTTGATGCTTCCCCTCTCTCCCTGTTCTTTTCCAGGCTGGAATGGGTGGGAATCCTCAAGTCTTGGATATGGGAGATTTGATGGGGTTGGAAGGAAGAGTTGAGAAGTCGCTCTTCTCCATCCTGCGCTCGCATCAAATCACGGAATCATCGGATGATTGGGGTTGGGAGGGACCTTGTTTGATGCTTCCCCTCTCTCCCTGTTCTTTTCCAGGCTGGAATGGGTGGGAATCCTCAAGTCTTGGATATGGGAGATTTGATGGGGTTGGAAGGAAGAGTTGAGAAGTCGCTCTTCTCCATCCTGCGCTCGCATCAAATCACGGAATCATCGGATGATTGGGGTTGGGAGGGACCTTGTTTGATGCTTCCCCTCTCTCCCTGTTCTTTTCCAGGCTGGAATGGGTGGGAATCCTCAAGTCTTGGATATGGGAGATTTGATGGGGTTGGAAGGAAGAGTTGAGAAGTCGCTCTTCGGAGAAGACAAGGATCCAGGGAAACCTCAGAGCCCCTTCCAGTGCCTGAAGGGGCTCCAGGAGAGCTGGAGAGGGACTTGGGACAAGGGATGGAGGAACAGGACACTGGGAATGGCTTCCCACAGCGAGAGGGCAGGAAGGAATTCCTGGTTGGGAGGGTGGTGAGGGGCTGGGATGGAATTCCCAGAGAATCTGTGGCTGCCCCTGGATCCCTGGAAGTGTCCAAGGCCAGGCTGGCCAGGGCTTGGAGCACCCTGGGAGGGGGGAAGGTGTCCCTTGCCCATGGGACCATCCCATCCCATCCCATCCCATCCCATCCCATCCCATCCCATCCCATCCCCTCCCATCCCATCCCATCCCATCCATGATTCCATCCCATTCCATTCCTTCCCAAGGAGCCCAGGACACGCTGGGCCTGTTCAGCCCTCACCATCTCCATCCCCGCCACCATCAGGTTTCGGTGGTTGTCACCCAGCCCAGCTGTGCTGGGGCCGGTGGTTTTGGGATGGTGCCGGAGGTGGATCCCACGGAGCCGACGCCTTTTCCTGCTGTCGAAATCCGGACAGAGGGAAGGAGCTTTGGGATCTCTGGAGTGCCGGGGAGCTGCGCTGCTCCAGCTGGACCGGGGGAGGTCAAATCCACAAATTTTGGAGTTTTTGTGGGAAATGCTGCCGGGTTTGGTGGTGTGGGTGGCAGCGCCGGTCATGCAGAAGTTCATCTCCAGGTTGGTGATTCCTGTCCTTCCATTCCTTCCCATTCCCTCATGGAATGTGCTTTGATCCCCGGCTCTGGACCTTCAAGGGTTAGGGGTGGATGCTGTGATCCCGGGTGGACATTGGGGTGCTCCATCCCTGGCTTGCGTTTTGCAGACTTGCTGGGTTTCCCTGGGAGCTGGAAATCAGGGATTGGTTGGAAACTCTTTGGAAAAATTCTCTGTTTTGTGTAAATAATTCTGCGGGACTCGATGGGGGTAGAAGAAAGCGTTGTGAGGTCGCTCTTCATCCCGCTCTCGCTTTGATCGCGCTCGCATTGATCACGGAACCATTGGATGGTTGGGTTGGGAGGGATCTTGGTTGAGTTTCCACTCTTTCCTGGTTTTTTTTTTCCAGGCTGGAATGGGTGTGAATTATCAAGCTTTGGACATGGGAGACTTTATAGGGGTGGAAAGAGAAGTTGTCAAATTGCTCTTGTCCACCCCATGAGCACCGAGTCACAGAACCATCGGGTGGTTGGGGTTGGGAGGGACCTTGGTTGATGCTTCCCCTCTCCCTGTTCTTTTCCAGGCTGGAATGGTTGGGAATCATCGAGTCTTGGACACGGGAGACTCGATGGGGGTGGAAAGCAGAGTTGAGAAGTCGCTCTTCTCCATCCTGCGCTCGCATCAAATCACGGAATCATCGGATGATTGGGGTTGGGAGGGACCTTGTTTGATGCTTCCCCTCTCTCCCTGTTCTTTTCCAGGCTGGAATGGGTGGGAATCCTCAAGTCTTGGATATGGGAGATTTGATGGGGTTGGAAGGAAGAGTTGAGAAGTCGCTCTTCTCCATCCTGCGCTCGTGCCAAATCATGGAATCATCGGGTGGTTGGGGTTGGGAGGGACCTTGGTTGATGCTTCCCCTCTCCCTGTTCTTTTCCAGGCTGGAATGGGTGGGAATCATCGAGTCTTGGACATGGGACACTCAATGGGGGTGGAAAGCAGAGTTGAGAAGTCGCTCTTCTCCATCCTGCGCTCACGCCAAATCACGGAATCGTCAGGTTGGGCGACCTCCCAAGATCGCTGGGTTGACGTTTCCCTTCTCTCCTTGTCCTTTCCCAGGCTGGAATGGGTGGAAATCATCGAGCCTCGGACCCGGGAGCGCATGTACGCCAACCTCATCACGGGGGAGTGCGTGTGGGACCCGCCCGCCGGGGTGCGGATCAAGCGCACCAATGAGAACCAGTGGTGGGAGCTCTTCGACCCCAACACCTCCCGCTTCTACTACTACAATGCCACCACGCAGAGGACGGTGTGGCACCGTCCCCAGAACTGCGACATCATCCCGCTGGCCAAGCTGCAGACGCTGAAGCAGAACACGGAGTCGCCGCGGGCTTCCACGGAAAACAGCCCCGGCAGGAGCAGCAATGTCAGCAGGGAGGGAAGCACCAGCTCGTCCTTGGAGCAGGAGCTGGAGGGCAACGAGAAGGTGCAGGAGCAGCGCTCGAGCCGCCAGTCCAGCCAGTATTCCGTGGTGAAGGAGGAAACGGAAAGGTAAAGGTGGGATTGGGGGGAAAATCGGGAATTCCCAATCCTGGTCGTCTCCAAGAGAGATCCTGCAGGTCTTGGGAAAAGGTGGTTTGTGGATGGTTCCTCCTGCTCGAGGCTTGGTGGGTCTTCACCGAGTTGGATCATCCATAAAACAAGGAGGAAGAGGGAAAAACATCAGGAAGAGGTGTTTCTCCACCTTGGGGATATTTTAGATGTTCCCTGCGGGAAGGTTCCCTAAAGGAATAATTTTTCATCCTTTTGAAATTCGTTTTTAGGATTGGAAATTCGGGTTTAGAGCTCGGCGTGGTTTTAAATGCTTTCCCTGGATAAGATCTCCCTGAGGAGTGGGGATGATTCACGGTCCAACCAGGGCTTGTCCCACAGGTCTGGGGAGCTCCTGGCAGGGATAATTTCCCTCGGGAAGGAGAAGGGAGTCAGTGCTCCATTCCCAAGGATAACATTCAGAGATGTTCGTGTCACTCCTTTGTTGTTGTTTCATCTTTTATGGATTAAAAGCTGCAAATCGTAGAATCATGGAATGGTTTGGGTTGGAAAGGAGCTTTAAAATCCATCTTTTTCCACCTCCTGCCATGAGCAGGGACGCCTCCCACGATCCCAGCCTGACTTGGGACAATTCCAGGGACGGAGCAGCCACAGCTTTTCTGGGAGACCTGAGGCGGGTCATTAATTAATGTGTTTGTCTTCTCTTAATTGATGCTTTTGACCACGTTAAGGACCCAGCCAGGTTGAGGAGACCAATCCGAGGTGGAATTCCCTTTCCCAGCTCCTGCTGCCAGAAACTGTGGCTGGATGGGAACAGGAATTCCCGGCTTGGCAAGTGCTTTCATGTGGGACATCAGAGGCGGCCTCGGCTCCGCACCTCGGGGGAGGTTCCACCTTCCCGAGCTCCCGGGAGAGGCTCTGATGGAATTTCTGAGCCTGGGAATGGGGGGGTCCTCCTGGGGCAGGGGGATTTTGGGGAAGGAGAGGGGTTTGGGGTCTTTCACTGCTGGTGGATGTGGAATCATGGAGTCATGGAATTACCGAATCATGGAATGGTTTGGGTGGGAAGAGGCCTGAAAGATCATGGAATTTCAGCCTTTTCCATGGGCAGGGACAACTCCCACTATCCCAGGTTGTTCCAAGCACCATCCAACCCAGCCTGGGACATTTCCAGAGATCCAGGAGCAGCCACAGCTTCTGTGGGAATTCCATCCCAGCGCCTCACTACCCTCCCAACCAGGAATTCCTTCCCAAATCCCATCTATCCCTGCCCTGTGGGAGTGGGAAGCCATTCCGTGTGTCCTGTCCCTACATCCCTTTGTCCCCAGTCCCTCTCCAGCTCTCCTGGAGCCCTTCAGGCTCTGGAAGGGGCTCTGAGGTCTCCTTGGATCCTTCCCTTCTCCAGGCTGGACATTCCCAGCTCTCCCAGCCAGTCTCCAGAGCAGAGGGGCTCCAGCCCTTGGAGCATCTCCGTGGCCTCCTCTGGAATTGCTCCAACATCTCCATATCCTTTTGTTGTTGTATCCTGGAGCTAGATATAAAATTCCAGGTGGGATCTCACCTGAGCAGGTCAGAAGGGCAGAATTCCCCTTTTCCTGGTGGGAAATGAGCCCAGGAGATGTTGATGGAGCAGGATCCTATTCCCAAAGCGGCGTGAGGGGTTAACAAGGATCGAGGTATGGATTTTAAATTCCCTGGGTTTTGCTGCAAGAACAGGGGTGGGATCAGCAGGAAAGGATCATTCCTGAGGTGGAATCAGGAATTTCCTAAGGAAAGGATCATTCCCAAAGTGGGATCAGGAGTTTCCTGGGGAAAGGATCATTCCCAAGGTGGGATCAGGAATTTCCTGAGGAAAGGATCATTCCCAAAGTGGGATCAGGAGTTTCCTGGGGAAAGGATCATTCCTGAGGTGGAATCAGGAATTTCCTCTGGAAAGGATCATTCCCAAAGTGGGATCAGGAGTTTCCTGGGGAAAGGATCATTCCCAAAGTGGGATCAGGAGTTTCCTGAGGAAAGGATCATTCCCAAAGTGGGATCAGGAGTTTCCTGGGGAAAGGATCATTCCCAAGGTGGAATCAGGAATTTCCTCTGGAAAGGATCATTCCCAAAGTGGGATCAGGAGTTTCCTGGGGAAAGGATCATTCCCAAAGTGGGATCAGGAGTTTCCTGAGGAAAGGATCATTCCCAAAGTGGGATCAGGAGTTTCCTGGGGAAAGGATCATTCCCAAGGTGGAATCAGGAATTTCCTCTGGAAAGGATCATTCCTGAGGTGGAATCAGGAATTTCCTCTGGAAAGGATCATTCCCAAAGTGGGATCAGGAGTTTCCTGGGGAAAGGATCATTCCCAAGGTGGAATCAGGAATTTCCTCTGGAAAGGATCATTCCCAAAGTGGGATCAGGAGTTTCCTGGGGAAAGGATCATTCCCAAAGTGGGATCAGGAGTTTCCTGAGGAAAGGATCATTCCTGAGGTGGGATCAGAAGCTCTCTGGGGGGATTCCCACCTGGGATCCAATTCCCACATCAGACCCAGCACGGACACTCCAGGTCACTAATTCCTTGGTGTCCTCCACCCACACGTTCCCTGTTCCCATTATGGGATGCAAATCTGCTGGATCAGCTTGGAGGAGAGCCAGATTCTCAAATAAAAATATTTAATCCTTGGAAATCTCCTGGAAAAGAAAAGGAATTCAGCCCTGGGCTGGGTTTGGCCAATGGGAGGTTGTGTGTCCTCGAATCTCCAGGAATTCCAGGTCTTGGCCTTTCCAGGGACTGGGATTGAGCAGATCCTGGGTCTTGCAGCTTTAAAAATTCATTAAAATTTTTTAAAAATTTAGATGCCACTAGAGGGAGCAGAAATTCCTGCTGACTGGAATTCCCACCTGCATCCCTGGAGGTGACAGGGATGAGTCCCATCGGCTCAGCCAAACCATGGCTGCATCCCACTCTTGATCCTCATATCCTGGCTGGGAAAAAAACCTCATTCCTGCATTTTCCCCATCCCTGGAAAAGTCCAAGTCCAGAGCTTGGAGCAACCTGGGATAGTGGAAGGTGTCCCTGTGTAATTCCATGATCTTGAAGGCCCCTTCCAGCCCCAGCCGTTCCATGATTCCATGAGTTTCCGTGATTCCCAGGTCTCGGTTGCGTTTCTCGCAGAAGATCCGCAGCTGGGGAGGAGCTCTGGAGGTTTCCTGGTGGAACCTCCCAGTCCAAGTTTCATCCCATGAAATCTTATTTAAATGTTTCTGGCTAAGCTCAGCTCATCTGGTTGGAAAAGGGAATTTGGGATCAACGGGAAAGTTTTTATTGGAATTCACCCCCGGGGCCTCCCTTAAAATTTAGGATTTAGGAACCAGAGCATCTCCAGGTTTGGCTGGAGATGCTGGAGACCTCTCCCAATCCATTCCTCACACCCACGGGGACGTTCCATCCCACCCGTGTGGGCCAGGGATGCGTCATCCCTTGGAATCCACACTGGAATTCCCACCTGCATCCCTGGAGGTGACAGGGATGAGTCCCATCGGCTCAGCCAAACCATGGCTGCATCCCACTCTTGATCCTCATATCCTGGCTGGGAAAAAAAAAAATCATTCCTGCATTTTCCCCATCCCTGGAAAAGTCCAAGTCCAGAGCTTGGAGCAACCTGGGATAGTGGAAGGTGTCCCTGTGTAATTCCATGATCTTGAAGGCCCCTTCCAGCCCCAGCCGTTCCATGATTCCATGAGTTTCCGTGATTCCCAGGTCTCGGTTGCGTTTCTCACAGAAGATCCACACTGGGAAGGAGCTCTGGAGGTTTCCTGGTGGAACCTCCCAGTCCAGGTTTCATCCCATGAAATCTTATTTGAATGTTTCTGGCTAAGCTCAGCTCATCTGGTTGGAAAAGGGAATTTGGGATCAACGGGAAAGTTTTTATTGGAATTCACCCCCGGGGCCTCCCTTAAAATTTAGGATTTAGGAACCAGAGCATCTCCAGGTTTGGCTGGAGATGCTGGAGACCTCTCCCAATCCATTCCTCACACCCACGGGGACGTTCCATCCCACCCGTGTGGGCCAGGGATGCGTCATCCCTTGGAATCCACAGGGAATTTTCCGTTGCCAAGTGCCCGGATCCCAGAATCACCTCGCGCTTCCACGGTGAGGTGGGATTTGTTCTAATTAGCGTCGGATCCGGCTCGGGAATCAACCCTGGGATCTCAACAGCTGCTTTGTCCTGGTCGCCAGCAGAGCCTTCCCAGCAGGATTTCCCAGCTTTTCCCTGGAGTTTTCCATGCTTGTCTTAAAATGGAGGCTTTTCTCCGGAGCGTGACTTGACAGCCGTGAAATCTCAGAGAGGGAATGTCAGCCGGATTTTGTGTCGGGTCGCTGGGATTTTCCGCACCGTCGGGAAGTGTCTGGGGTTATTGGCTTGAAATCCTTGGAGAAGGTGTCAGGCAGGAAAAAAGAAGCCTTTTCCATGGAAAACTCAGCTCTGCCGCTGCTTCTCCAAGGAGGAATTGCAAGTGGAAGCTTGAAGGACAAAGAAATGGATTTTTGACCATCAGGAGCGTTTTCCTTGGACCAAAACACAGGAATCTTGGGATGCGAGGGGTCTTCACCCAAGTCCCATCTGCTGGGAAAAGTTATTCCTCAGGATTCCCAATTTTTTTTAGCACGTCCTGGTTCTGAAGTCACCAGGATTTCAGAGATAAAACACAGCATTTAAATCTTCCTGGATTAAGTGTGGCTAAGCTGGAATATCCAAGGGGAATTCTCTCACAACCCAATCCCTGGAATGTGCCCGCCGCAGCTCTCTGGGATCAAAAACTTCCTCCCTTACAGGCAGCAGCCATTTCCTGACTCCAAAAGATCCCAAAAAAGCAAATTTGTACAATAAAAGATGCCTCAAATCTCTACAATACCCAATTTGAGCGTCCCACAATTTTTTCTTGGAATTCTCTCCGTTTATTTCCTTTCCCAGGAGGCGCTGGGAAGAACCTGCCGTGTCCGGGTTCGGAAAACAGGT